AAAAAAATAACAGAATATCTCTTAAACTTGACGCTAGTTCGAAAAAATATTCCACATAAAAATTTTAGAACTTTAAAAAAGATTATAATAATTCTATTGATTTGATACAGGATAACCATCCAAAAATCACATGAAGATCATTAAGACTTTTTAAATGTAGTTAATGTATAATTTCTTTATTTATTCTGTATGCAAAAGTAATGAAATTATTAAAAAATCAGTTTATCAGATACTTTATACTTTGGTTTAGCATATCTTAACATAAAATATGTATGGTAAATTATTTATTTTCAAATAATTGTATTTTAATACTTTTAAATACAGAATAATGAGATAAATAAAAAGATACATTGTTGCTTTTAAAAAAGTTATACAATTTGCAATATACAATACATATATTTTCTGAAAAACATATAGCACATATATGTGGCTTTCTTTAGTTGCATATCCTTTCCATACATCCATTTTACAAATAAGCCGCGGTTCATTTCTGACTTTACTAGATGTTTAGAGATATGCACAAACAAGTACTTTATCATTCATAGAACATATTTTCAAATACCTTGCTGTGTTCCTAGCAACCACAAACATGTGTAGAATTGAGTTGTTTTTTTTTTTTACCTCATGCTTGTATTTCCCGCTGGATTGCATGAATATTTGCTCATTCGTACAATCTTACTAATGTTTTATTAATTACTGCAAAACTCGCGAAATAATAGAAGACTTTTCTATTTAGTTTAATCTGTTCTATCTATTCGCACATGTATTATACGATTATGATGGGACATCCTGTATTGGTGACGATAAAATAATTTACTGATATTAAATAATCATGAATAAATAACAGAATAGTAGGAACTCTTGAAAGCTTTTCATAGAAACACGTAATAACATTTCGATGAGCAACTTTTTAATTGTAAACATATTAATTTATTTAGATGTTTAAAACAATACTATAGAGAATAAAGTTAAATTAATAAAACTGCTACATTGAATTTTATAATGTACTTCCTTTAAAGAGAATTAATATATTCAATATATCCAATAAATGATAAAGGATTTTATAAATATTAAACAGTTATAAATGTTAAACAATTTTCAATTATTCGCATATACAAATAAAATATATTGCCATGTTGCTGTATATTAAAAAAATATGACAACACTTATTATTATAACAATTATTATAGTAATAATAATGGCCAATTTTGCTAATTATAAATAATCTATGACAATTTATATCGCCACAAATTTTTCGACATTTATCAATTTCGTTGCTCGTGTTAATATATTTTTGCATCTGAAATTTGTCAGTTGAAATTACAACTTTTCCAATTTATTTACAAATATTTACTTACATTTATACCACTTTCGCATCGACTCTTTCTTCGTTGCAATGATAGATTTTTCTCAATCGACTAGCATTGTCACACGTTTATATTTACGATCATTTTAATTATTATATTGTTGCATATAAAATAAACTCAATTCAGTATGAAATTGAATTTTTTAAAAAGAACTCTTTTAACCTAACAGTTTAATATTATTTCGAACTTGTGAAATTGTGACTTTATATCAAGTTGTAAATGATAAATCAAAATATTCTTTTATGATAAAAGAATTTGTAGATATCTCAAACATATACCGTTTCAAATATACTTCCTTATTTTTCACATTGTAAAAGGACCTTATTTCACATCTTATGTGAATAATGAAACAAGAAAATATCCATTGCTATAATATTGATTAACATATTTTAAAATATTGCACATGCTTAACATGGACGTACGAATACGATAGACAAAATATATTTTTGCAATAATAAAAGAAGGAAAAGAAGATTGCAAGTTTAGTATATTCAATATGATCAACTAAGACGATAATTAGAAGTAATTGCTTTCATCAGATGGTAGATTTTCTAAAGCAGCTTGATCATGGAAAATAATTAAAACATATAAAATACAACTCAACATATTACAGAATAAAATTTATCATTCCAAGCATCATTTTTTATTACGTAATATATCGCGGAATATGAAAATAGATTTAATTCTGATAAATTAAAGATAATGAATTTTTCTTCTCACCCTCAGGTTTCACTTTCCCAGCCTAGAGGTACTTTACACTCTGTCCAAATATTCGTACGATCATGCTTCCAAATATCAACATCAATCTTTAATAAAAAAATTTTATATGCAACAATAGAAATAGTAGTCATTACAATTCCCAATGTTTATCTTTTGTTGCATTCATATATGTAGTTCTACATCGACATATGCTTCCATGTACACGCGTACACACGCGCATCTAAAAATCGACATAAACTACAAGTCCAGTAATTCCAACAGCATTTCGCCGAGAGGAAAAGTCAGAAAGAGATGATCGTACTCTTCGAGATCACCATTCACTTTTTTGAAGTCAATATACTATGTCCTCGTTGAAATTGGAAAAAAGAGGACCAGATGGAAGTTGTAGATAGCATTGCCAAACGGGAGGCTGTCCGCGAGCGACAACATCAGAAGACGCATGTGCAGTCTTCCGAAACCCTGGCCTACCTGGCTCGTTTCCGATTGAGTTTAGCCAACTTGCGTCGTTTCAAGATCAACTGATACAGTGTATCCAAGCCTTCATGAAGTCCTTCGCCCGTAATAGCACACGCCGGCTGTACGCGAATACAAGAGCTACCTGGTATTCCGGCTAGTTCCAATACTCCTAAATGCTTCTCCAATTCGCTAACTTCTTTTGCACCTAATAATAAAGAGTTCACTAATAAAACAAAACAGATTCAAGCATAATTTTACTTATTATATCATTATTTTTATTTAATTTTCTTTATCTATCCTCAAACACAATCAATTATGTTTCAAAACAAAATATTGATCAAAGCAAAATATTGCAATAATTTTCTATTAATTATTAATTAAATATATAGTGTCTGATAATTATTAATTTTTTAAAGAAATAATAGAAACAATTTCTCTTATTTCTTTATCTATTATTACTAATAAAATTAATCAAAATTAATATTTCTATTTTAAATCTATTTTTTATTTTAGCTTTAATAAAATATATTAATATATTTAAATACTTTTTAGTTTTTAAAATAAAAAATTATTCTTTCATTGTATATCTTTTGAGTAACAAATTAATTTTTTCATCAATGCAGAAACACATTTTTAAAAAAATATGCACTTGTTCACATTTTTATATAAGTTTTTGTCACATTTTGAAAATTTTAAAAAGAAGCAACAACTTTAAAGAAAATATCTGTGATGATTTAGAAATGCTTATTATAAATAATAACACTAATAATTTAAATCAATTGCTACAAACATAATCAAGTTTTTCATATATGAAAAAGTATGTTTGCATGTATCATATTATGCAAAGGAATAAAAGACTGTCAACAAATTCACAGACATATTTAAAAAATTAAAATGAGAATTTATCCTAAATAAAAATACACCCAACACTGAAATATAATTTATAATAAATTTTATAATATAAATTATATATACTGGGCAAATCTTGTTTATTGGCGAGAATTAAGATTGGTACACCCGCATTATCCGGACTTCTTGCCGTTCTAGTAAGCTCCATTTTTGCTTCTTCGAGTCGCTCAGTATCGCAGGAGTCAACGACGAAAATGATTCCATCAGTACATCTTGTGTAAGATTTCCACAATGGTCGTAATTTTTCTTGTCCGCCGACGTCCCACACAAGAAAATTCACACCTGTATTACAAAAAATACTGCACACTTATGAAGGAAAATTCTAATGACATAATGTTTTAGTAACTTGTTGCGTTTACAATCAAACTTCTGTATACTTCAGTTATTAGAATTTAGAGCAACTTTTTTATTCTTCATCCGCTCTTTAATTTTTGTTCAATTTTATAACAATAACGCACATGTAAGATTAGAATAATAAACAATGTTTGATAACTATTAAATAATAAAAGAACAAAGTAATATATAATATATATAATATATATAATATAATATAATATATAATTATATAAAGAAATAATTTGCATATTATAAATAATTTGCAAGGAAATAAGCAAGAACAGGGCAATTCATGAGATGTCTTATGATCAGCACCCATATCTGATGGTAAATGTCTTTATATATATATGTATATATATATATATATATATATA